CCAAACGCTCTACCACATATTATTGATTTTATTTATTTTGATTTTTTATCATTTAAAAGTCAAATTAAATCAAATAAATAACATAAAATAGCAAAGATTTGTTTTGATTTGATTTTGCATTGAATCACAATCCATACATGCTGGAAATAACCAAGAGAAATCGTGTAAGATTGAGAAAGGAAGAGAATCTTCAAAATAGGAAATATTGGATTTATTTTGAAACTTATTCAAATCATTTGATTTAGTCCATATATGTTAACCTAATACTGATTCACTATTTAAGAAAGTCATTCCAACCCTAAAACGACAAGAATACGCAGGAGCCTGTCTCAAGGGAGAAGTTTCCAAAAAGTCAAAGAAGTGGTATAATCTTCAAACGCTCAAGCCAATCCCTTTCCCTCGATTCCAATCACTCCATCATCATTTTGAGACTTCTAGGAGTGGAACCAGACCAATTGCAAAGGCCAAAGTCTACTAAATTGTGCCAACCCAATCCTTCCATATTGGTAACTTTTTTATTTCTAAAACCCGTTCCATCCTTAATATAAATATATTGTGCTTGCATATTTATACTATTGGTATTATTCATGAATTTTTTGACGTATCTCATGTGAGGAATAAGCCCAGAATCGCAAGCCACCATTGTTAGGGCTTAGGAAGAAGCAAGCTTCGGATTTTATGATACAAGAACTTTTAGGATAAATGGATACCACCATTGGATTCCTGGGGAAATTTTAAGGGGGGTAGGGTCTTTTTTATGCTTTGATCACGCGTGTTTTGCAGGATCGGTCTTGGGGTGTCACCGGAGAAGGTGGCCGGAGCCACCAGGGCCGGTGGTTTAATTTTTGCAGGAGGCGGTCAAAGCACGCGTGGCTGTTTCTCATGACCTCATTGGCTGGGATCAAGCGAACTCTTCCTCTCTCCAAGTCCGATTGGTCCACTCAAACCCCCAGGGCCCCACAGCACACGCGTGTCAGTTGGATTCAGCACTAGCACCTTGTTTTCCTTTTATTTTATTTGTTTCATTATATTCATGATTAACATTACAGCGCAGTTGGTGAAGGACATTGTGTTTGAAGGGAAGGACCTGGGTTCGATCCCAGGTCTAACGTTTTTCTATTTTTCAAACGAATTCTTGTGGATCCAGTGCTTGCAGGCTATGGAAGTGCACCATACAAGTTCAGACCATCATCGTCAGATCATGCATCACTCAGATCTAATGCTCCTGGATGCAGTCCCATGGTGGACGTCCCCAATCCAGTAACGCTAGATCCAACACTTGCAATGGGCCAACCGGATCTGAGCCGTGGAAAATTCAACAAACACCCCTCCAGTTTGGGTTTCACACCCCCCTCATGTCCATTTTCCTAACCTCTTCATTCTTTTTAATTAATTTTGTTTATTTAATTTAATTATCTTTTTTAATCAATTTTTTTATATATAAAATCATAAAATCAAAACCACAAAAATAGAACTTAGTTTCCTTTTTTTAATAAATTAATTTTTTGTAAATAAATTAATTTCATTAATTTTAATTTACTTTTCATTAATTAAAATTAATTAGAAAAGTTAGGTTAAATTCAAATCCTTTTTCATAAAAAATCCAAAAAAAATGTTAATGAGCAAATTATTTTTTAGGGTTTTGAACTCTTTTCCAGCTTTAATTCTCGCGCGTTATTATTTTGCTATACGATTATTTTATTTTTTTATTGATGTAACTGTGCCCGGTGTGTAATAGCTTAATTAGGATTTTATTTTCGCATTTTGCTTTCAGTCAATTCTTTATGTATCTACCCCAAAGTCTTGTAATAACATAGGACTTTTACTTTCTCGCTTTTATATTTTATATGCTTGTATATAATTGTTAGCAACCTAGGCGTGTATGATTAATGAATCAACCGTAGATCACTAAACTACAAGATAAATATAACTGAAAAAAGCACATTGCTGCACATGTTCACTCCTAGGGTTTAGTCCACTCGGTTGCCTCAGAAATAATGATCGTGTCCCTCGAATGTAGGGATACCTTAGCAATAACCCACAATTCAAAGTTGTCATACAGATCATAGTCCCTATTTGTCTCTCGAGTTGCCTACGAATTAATCTTATGACGGCAGTCCCTTCGAAATGTTAAGGTATCCTTATTTGTTGCCTTCAGAGACCATTCCGTCCCTTCGAACGTCCCTTTAAAACTCCAATGACGGTGCTACCTATTTCTTAATAATAGGATAGCGTTGTCTAAAGGAAAACGAATAGACCTTTTTCGAGTAGGTAGATTAGTTCCTAGGTACTTGCTCAAACAAATTTTTTTCACACAAACACTTTTTCAAAACAATTTTCAAAACAAACTTCGTCACACTCTTGAGGTCTGATACAAGAGTTATCACGAAGTAAAACTTTTTTAAAACAAGCACACATAAGGAATTTAAAAAATGAGTAAGTACCTAAGAGCCCGTGGAAAACCACGGATAGAAAAGGTGCTAACATCTCGAAAAAATATTTTTTCTGTTCTTTTTCCTTTTTCTTTGTTGGATGAAATAAAAATCAGTGGCGACTTTTGCTTACCGCAACATTGGCGACTTTTGCTTACCGCAACATTTGCGAATACAAAACGCAAACTAGTATAACAGTCGGTTCTGCCACCGTATCACATAACCGATGGGAACGCACCACCAAACTATTCGTTGGACAATTTTATTTTTAAATTCTTTTTAATCCTTTTATTTTTAAAAATAATTAAAAATAGCTCATAAATGTTTCTTAATTCCAATTTATTTTCATAAATTCCTAAAAAAAAAAAATCTACCGCATATAGCTTATAAAAATGAACTAAAAAAATATGAATAATGCTATATGTTGTTTTAATATGTTCTCCCAAATAATGTTACAAAACGCTCAAAAAAGCCAATCCAATCACCCTAATTATAAGAGGAAACATAAGTTGACACCTTTAAAAGTGTCGGACACCGTATAATAATAAATTTTAATGTTTATTTCTGAAGTATAATAATACAGTGTCTATGTGAGGTGTCAGAATGTCAGGAGTTCAAATATCAGTACTCTAATTATAAATATATTTAACACTTGTCAATTGTATCCACCATCTGTTGAAGAGAATATCACTCCGGTTTAACGATATATGCATGCATCAAAAAGTTGATAAACAAATTAAGTGAGATACGTTTTTCCATTCTTTTTACTAGTCAAATTAAAGAGCAAACGTTTAACATGTAGCTGCCTGATTTCTATCAAAATCCAATTCTTTCATTCATGAAGTTGTTATGAATTTCCACTTCCAGCTCCATCTATTATCCAATCAAAATCCAAAATATATTTGTTACACTATCATGCAGGCAACAACCATTTACCATGAATAATGGTTGTTTACTGCACGAGTCTCAGAAGGCCGAATGGACCATACTAGTTTTGCAATTCTTTAAATCAGTGTCCAAAGGATGTAAAATAACATAGTGAAATTTGAATTTAGTAACATGTATGGGCGGATCCATGTTTAGGCTAGGTGTGGCTATAGCCACACCAGATTTTTTTTTCTTCTTCTAATATTAATATATATTTAATTAATTAATTAATTTTAATATTTAATATTATATAACTCTTCAACTCACTTTTATCTCTTAATTTTTTCTCTCTTTTATTTCTTTCTCTCTCACACAGTAAACCCTTTCTCTTCTTCTCAAACCCCACCAACTTCCATATTTGTCTCTTTCTCTCATTAATCCAATAACTCCACCATTTTGCATTGTTTATGGGTGATTGAAAATCAAAGGTAAACTAACTACTTCAAAATTTTCTTATTCTTTTGTTCTATTTGAGTTGAACCCTAAAACCCCAATTTGTTTTAAAAAAGTAAATTTTCAATTTCTCATAAATATTTTTTTTACAATAAATTGTTCTTATTATTTTCTTTATAGAGTGAATAGCTAATTTTAATGGTTTCATTGTTCTCTTTACAGGATGAAGAAATTTTTTCCTGTGCTTTCTAGAGACAAAGCTACTTCTTCGGTAAATCTAGAAGCATCGGAAACTCAACATCCAAGTGAGAGTATTAAAGTTGTCTATTATGAATTGTTGGAAAACGATCCAGGAATTAGGCCTCCAATTTCAAGCTATCATCCTGACATCCAAAATGAGGTAAGGAAAGCTTATTTAAAAATAGGTCGTCATAAACCTTTGATTTGTATGATTGGATTGATTATAGTGAATCTAAGGACCTGGCATTTTGGTTGTCATGTTTTTTGTTTAAGAATGTCTCTAAATACGGGGGAGATCACTTTGTGACAGAGGGGTTTGGTGATTGGAAGAATTCTCATAGATTGGCTAATTTCTGAATATCGTGTTCGTGTAAACACATCTCTTATAGCTACTAAGTTTCTTTTGAGGTGTGGCATGCCATTTAGAGGGAGTGACGAGTCCTAACTCTTTATTTAAGGGGCCATTTCTTGAGTTGGTGGACACTCTAAAGGAAATTAACCCAGAGACAGCTAAGGTAATAAATTGTGCTCCAGGAAATAACTTTATGACTGCCCCTAAGATTCAAAAGGATCTTGCTGCTGCTTGTGCATGTGAACTTTATCCAAATGATTTTGTAGTGAACTTTATCCAAATGATTTTGTAGATGTGCCGGAAGTGGCGGTACGACATCAGCTTCAGAATTATGTTAGAAATGTTCGATGTGATCCAAAATTTGCAAATTTAAACGGACTTTCAGATCTTTGTGCAAAACTTGTGGAAACAAAAAAATGCAACACTTTTGATATAGTTTATAAGCTTTTGTAACTTTTATAGAAAGAGATGTTCTTGGAACAATTAACAATGATGTTATTTTAGCTCATTTTCAAGAAAATGATACTAGACGGTTTTCATTGTAAATACACTTCAAGAAAATGATATTGTTATTGTTATTGAATGTGAATAAGTAAAGAGAAAAGGAAAGTGAAAAATACTAAAAATTAACATGTATTCTGAGCCTAGTTCATTCTCTATTCGCGATAAGATAATCTTGACATCATCTTTGGTTTGGGATATCCGATATAGACCTCGGGAAGGAGTCCATTCTTTTTGTCGGAAAGCTGCTGTTTAAGTCTAGCCAAATATTTAATTTCAGCAGCCTTCTTCTTCTTCTTGCCATTTGGACCTCGTATTGCAATTAGGAAGGCTTTCCAATATGGCACATTCCAATTAACCCTAACCCTTTTTCCAACTCCTGAAACACACCATGCAATTCTAAATTAGACTAAACAAAACACATATAATATAATATCAGTTACTACTAATTAACAACGATTTCAAACCTTCTGTTTTACTTCCCACCGCACCAACCCTAGCTTGTGTTTTACTTCCCACCGCACCAACCCTAGCTTTTTTTCCAACTCCTGAAACACAAACACACCGCACAATTCTAAATTACTTGAGTAAACATAACAAACACAAACACACCGCACAATTCTAAATTACTTGAGTAAACAAAACAAGTATGATCAATTATTACTAATTAACAACACACACGATTACGATTTCAAACCTTGTGTTTTTCTTTCCACCGCCATCATTTCAAATTCTTGTTGCAAAGAGGAGACCAAGAATGAGTATGTGATTGAAACAGAGAATAGGGTTTGTAAAAGAAAATAGGGTTGTATCATAGTGGCTATTGGGCTGGACACACTAACACTTTCTTTTTTTTAACACTAACACTTGTATATTTTTTTGTCCGAAGAGGATTATAAATTTATAATTATTGCAACATTTAAAGAAAACAAATTATAAATTTATAATTATTGCAAGATTTAAAGAAAACAAAAAACAATTGAGGAAAAAAATATAGAACAATAAAAATATTACCTTTTGTCTAAAACTTTTCAACCTATTGTTGGATGGTATATATCGTTTAAACTATTGAGGAGGAAAATAAAAAATTATCATTTATAAAATTATCACATGAATTGGTCGGTTGGTAAACATGAATTTTTTTTTTTTAGTAAATTGTGAGAATAAGATTATAATTCTAGCTAATTTTAAAAATAAAATAAAATATGATTAAGAAAAAACAGAGAAGAACAATAAAGGTATTGAGAAAGATTAAATTTTTTATTTACATGATTCTCTTTTCAAAATTATATTGTTTGTAGCTTAATTACATAAATAATAACATAAATTTAACATTGAAAGTCAAAATTACATAGATATTGAAACATAAATTTAACATTACATAATGTTATAAACTGGTAGCTGAGGACGTCGCAATATTTTGATAACATCTTCACCAGATCTCTGAATCTTTGCATCCAATTCAATCGGATCCTTAGTAGAGTATCGATGAAAAGTGTTTCACATAACCTTTAAATTATCATCTGTATTCAGTGGAAACTCAGTGAATTGTACCTTTTCTTCAGTGTCAAGTGATGATGAACGATACTCGAGCTTGACTATCCTCCAATTTTCTGGATATTTCAAGAGAGAGTTGAGTATGGTAATGAGCTCGAAGTGACGCGTGTCCTCGCAGAACCTAAATTGAAGTGGCGACTTCTCACCATTGAAGTAAACAAAAGAAATGTGAGGATATGTTTCTGTCATATCTGATTTGTGGTGTGTGATGCCTAATTTGTGGTGTATGATGTTGAAGAAATAGTTTAGACACCCTATTTATAGAAGATTTAGAGTAATTTGGTCCTAAGAATTCTTATCGTGTTTCAGGGTATGTTTCAAAAATACACTTCTGAAACAACCTCTTTTTTTAAATCAAAAATAGGATATTTTAGGAGGTGTATACATTCCCTGATTGTTTTTTTTAACATTTCAGAAATGTATTTCCGAATTATACAGAGACATAACTCTATCTTGGCATTATTAATATAATTCAAAGATAAATTCACAATTTAATCGGTAAAAGTATAAATCGATCAAATGTGTATAAACTAAATATTAGTGACATAAAACATTAACATGTACTTTGAGCGTAGTCATGTTAATGTAAGATTGACATCATGAGGCCGTACATATCCTCCATTCCATATATCTTTGGTTCGGGATATCTTATTGCGATATGGGTGTTGTACCCCAAAATTTGTCCTTCAATTTTTCATGCAAAAGATATTATCCTAGGGTTTCTCGTATACTCAATTTGGCTCAAAGGTTGATCAGAAAGATTCTCTTTTTAGGAAAGCTTTGAAAGTTATCGAACGATCGCAAGTCATTTGTTTGATTTAAGATGTTCTTAAACACAATTTGCTGAAGCTTATTAATTCTACAAGATTGACGAATGTTCTTAAAACATGTTTGATAGACCTTGAGGTCCCATTTTAATCAAGTATGACATGCGAACTCATTTTGATTACCAATTAGACATTGGACAAGGGTTGAAGATTAAGAATTTTTTACCATAGTCTTTGGATTCAAGTTAACCAAGTAGAATTAAATTCTTAAACATTTATTTTGTTTTAGAAATTTGATTGGAGTACAAGGCGCTTATTTTTGTTTGATCATTTTTGGTGATTGCTTGAAATACAAGTTACTCAAAACAAGGTGTTTTACCCAAAGCATTCAAATGAGAATTTCAAAGTTCAATTAGAATTTGAGATTGGTACAATAATTTCATCACATCAAATTCATTCAAAGGACTTTGTGTTCATTACATTACAAGTAAGTTGAATTTACAAATTTTGTCTTGTCTACAAATGAAATAAATTAAAAAGTTTTGTTTTATTTACAAAAGGGAGAAATTTTGTTTCTTCATTGCTTCATCTTCAAGCGACCTATCCAATCTTCGCTTGCTGGCCACGCCTCATGTTCATGAAACAAAGAAGAAGAGAAGATTAGCAAACATTTCAATTAAAAAATGATATGAAGAAATTCATCATTATGGTTTAGGTTTAGGAATCAAATTTTAATGGCGAACTGCAACAAACAGCAGGGAAAGCTGCATAGCAGGCAACAAATAATAACATGGAAAACTGCCACAAACAGCAGGGCAAGCTGCATAGCAGGCAGCAAACAACAGCAGGGCAAGCTGTATAGCAGGCAGCAAATAATAACATGGCAAATTGCCACAAACAGTAAGGCAAGCTGCATAGCAGGCAGCAAACAACAACATGACAGGCTGCAGCAAGCTGCCAGAATAAAACTTGTGCAAAATCTAAAGGCAACGAAGTATCAAGAGGTCAGAAAAAAGAGGTTTTATGTTCTAAGGCCTCAAACCATGTCAACTTTTATCATAGGCTAAAAATTATATTGCAAATCACAAGGTTTGGTTTGGTTCACAATAAACTAAAAGGTGCAAATCAGAATTCATCAAGCAACAAGTACAAGTTTAATTCAGAAAACCAGTACAGCCAACAATAAAAAAAGCCTCATACATATTGTTCCACAAAAAATCAGGACCATACATCATTGGCTAGGGATAGTCTTTTGCAAATCTCAAATATTTGGTTCAGAAAAGATAAAGAGGAAATCAGAAAATATCAAATCAGCAAGCAAAAGCCTCATGTTGCTTCAAATCAAAAAATAGTCTCAACAGAAAACCAGTACAGCAAACAATAAAAAAAAGCCTCATATCTTGTTTGAACTCAGAATTTGTAAAGTCATGTCATGGGACAAAATAACTTTACAGAAAATCTCAAAGACCATGCTTTTGTTCACAGAAAAGAAGAAAAATAGAACTCAGAAAAGTCATCACAATACAACTAGCATCACAGAAAAAGTAAAGTATCAAGGTACATCAGGTACAGTCCCAAAAACCAGCAAAGTCACCAAGTACATAAAAAGGGTCCATCAAATCCAATTCAAAAGCCACAAAACCAGCAAAATCACCAAATACAAAAAAGAGAAATTCAAAAGGCAACCATAGTATAAAAAGGCAGCAAGGCTGTTCTGAGAGGAGAGGATTTTTTTCACCACAAAAAATACACAGAGGCAAAAAACCCAATACAGAAAACAACCAACCATCAAACCCTTCAAACTCACATACAGAACAGAACCACAAACCCTAACCTACTTCATCATTTTCTCAAATAACCAACCTCTCAAAATTGTTTTCAAGTTTTCTCCAACAAACCAGCAAAAAATATACAGTCACAGAACATACAAACAAAATACAAACCGCATGCAAACAACAACAAAACCCTAAACACCATTTTATCATCATTTCCAAAAACATAAACCCTTCAGAATCATAGAAGAAGAAGATTAGAAAGATCTCACCCAGGTATTGAAAGATTTCCGCAATTGGAGCAATTAGGGTTCCATTTTACCTTTCGTGATTTATCTAATTTAGGGCAACATCTGCAAAAATTAACCACGAATTAGTGAAGAGGAGAGAAAGGCGAACCCAGAGATGTAAAAATAAAATAGTGATCAGAGCTTCGCCGCTGCCGTCACCGCCGCGAGGCGATTTCCGGCGCGGCCACTCTTCCTTCTCTAGTGAGAACACACAGAGAGAGGGCGAGAGAAGATGTAAAACAAAGAGAGAGATTTTTTTTTTCAAATGAGACTCTGTCTCCATTTTGTTTGTTTTATTTGTTTTAAAAATAAATAAATAAGCAGGCCAACCAAACCAACAAAGCCCAAGTCCCTTCTTCAGCACCACACCTCCCTTTTTACTCTTCATTCGCGTTTGTTTCCCACTGGGCCTTGCGCCCCATTGGCCTTTAAGCCCATCTAATTTTATTTTTTTTAAATCATTTTTGTCTTTCTGATTTCAAAAACAGGCTTTTGGCCCTAACAAAAAAAAATGTTTTACTCATTTACCACCCACTTTATTTTTACAACCCCTGACTTATTTCTTTATTTTATTTTATTTCCTTTATTATTATTATTATTATTATTATTATTGTTATTATTATTATTATTATTATTATTATTATTTTATTATTAATAAAATCTCAAAAAACATTTTATTTAATATTTATACTTTAATATACTTATTTCATTTCTTTTAATACCAAAAGGCCAAAAATATCTTCTTATACAAATTTAATTTTTAATTAGATTAGGATTTAATTTATTTTCTTAATTAAATGTAGAACTTAGGTTTTCTTTTAATTATTTTTATGCTATTTTAGTTAATATTAAAATCTTTTTGTAAAAACACTAAAAAATATTTTTCTAAATTAAGTTAATTTACTTCTCTTTTTTAAATCTTTTTTTTAGTCTATTAGGTTAAGATAAAAAAAAAACATTTTCTTAACAAAACAAAATAATTCATTTCTTTTTCATTCAATACCTTATACATTATTTCTTTACATTCTTGTATATTATTTACTTCAATTCTTGTGCATTATATTCATTCACATTTTTTGTACATTATTTATTCAAATTCAATATGGTTGTAATAGATAATTAGATTTTAATTTCCCTCAATCCTCATTTGTTACTTGTATACCCCTCTCCCACAAGTATTGTAATAGCGTAGTAATTTTAAATTCCGCAATTTATCGCTTTATATACAAATGCTAATAGTTAGGGTTTATATCCAAAGATAGGGTTGCTTACCAAATCAATGGTAAGATAACAATGTCAAAGGAAAATAAAATGAACAAAGAAGACTTTTGAGTAGGTA